AGTTTTCCCCGCCAAGTTCCTCATGGGGGGCAGGGTTCAGCTGACAGCATTGGGAAGGCTTCTGCTTGCTTTGCACACCCGCACCCCCTTCTTCCAGCACTTTCTTCCTCCACCTTCTGTCTGGCCTCCTCTTACCTTCTGCTCTCTGCACATCTGGTTCTACTCTTTTGTCGTCTGGGCTGGCGGTTTCCCGCAGGCCCAGCAGCTCTCTCTGTCGCCTCCTTACTCCAGCCGTTGCCATCTCTAGCTTTGATCCCTGTATCCAGTTCCTTCACCGTGAACTCTAAGACCCAGCTTAGAACCGACTCACAGACATAACCTAGAAAGAGACGTGTTCCCCATCCTCCCCCACGCTGTGTCCCTGGTGGCTGGGCCATTGGTAGTTCTCAGACGGCCCGGGCTTGTGCTGCACAGGCTTTCCTTGCCACTCTCCAGGACACTTGGATTCAGGACACTTGATTCAGCAGGAAAACACTGGGGCCATCTGTTCTGTACCCTTGGCCCCTCACCTGCAGAAAAGCACCAAGGAAGGTTTGCTGTGGCCTTGGCTGCAGGCCAGCGGCCTTCTCTGTTCTGTTTTGTCACTCAGCTCATTGGTTCGCTGACATCGCCAGGCACAGGGCCCTGTTCACTCATGTTTTACATCTGCCTGCCTCCAGACCTCCCTCTGTAACCACAGCTCCTCCTATGCCTACCAGTGTCCTGCTCCCCTCGCCCAGCACAGATCAGGGAAGGGCTCTTTGGTGCCTCACCAAACCCACACTCCTAGTCAGTTTGGAACTAACTGGCTAATAAAATGAACTTGTATGTTTATTTTTTGCAATGAACCAAGAAGGATTGGAAACCTCCACCATGTGACCTCTGACCAGTTACTTCACCCTAGACCAACCCAGCTGCCCACATCTGTAATTAAAGTGCCCCGAGACCCCACTAGGGTCCTTTTCTGCTATCCACATGTGCCCGCTTTTGTGGAGCCTCAGACTTAGCTCCTCACCCTGCCCGAGGCTGCCCTAGGTGTCCTTCCCACCATGCCTCAGATCAGTATCCACCCCTCCCCTGCAGCCTCTGCCAATGCCTTCGCTCGGTTGACCATCGCACCCACATAGCACAAGTGCTTCTGTGGTTTATATGGCACTTGATGCCATCTCCATGTCTTTGTGTGTCCATCCCATCTGGATGGCGCCTAGAGAAAAGGATTGTCCCATTGAGTAGCTACTGTGTAGCAGACTATGCAAGGGGGACCATGTCTCTGTCTCCATGTGCTGACAGTATTAATCCTGATCAGCCGCGTCCTTCCCTGCTCCCTAGTTAGCAGTCAGGGGAGGCCCTGCCTTGCACCTCTAACTGGGCCTTCCTCTTTCAGCACTGCAATGGCGTTGACTGGCGTCAGAAGCTGGACTCTCAGCGTGGGGCTGTCATTGCCACTGAGCTAAAGAATAACAGCTACAAGCTGGCCCGATGGACCTGCTGCGCTCTGCTGGCCGGATCCGAGTACCTCAAGCTTGGGTGAGATTCCCAGCAGGGGGCCAAGGACTGGCCTTCTGAGAGGCTAGAGACAGGCTTATCTTTTCCTTCCTCCCTTGAGGAGAGCAGCAAACAAGGTGTCACCATTTAACTGACATTTGACCGCCAGCACTGCCAGCTCTGTGCCACCCGCTCCTGCCACTAACATCCCTTTCCCCACAGTTATGTGTCTCGCTACCATGTGAAGGACTCCTCCCGCCATGTCATCCTGGGCACCCAGCAGTTCAAGCCCAACGAGTTCGCAAGCCAGATCAACCTGAGCGTGGAGAACGCCTGGGGCATCCTGCGCTGCGTCATCGACATCTGCATGAAGCTGGAGGAGGGCAAGTACCTCATCCTCAAGGACCCCAACAAGCAGGTCATCCGAGTCTACAGCCTGCCTGATGGCACCTTCAGCTCCGATGAGGACGACGAGGACGAGGAAGAGGAGGAAGAGGAAGAAGAAGGTGTGTGGCAAGCCTCTCTGAAGTCTCAGGGATCTGGGGGCTGGCAAGGGAACGAACCCTGGAGCCACTGGCACAGTCACCCTTGATAAAAACCTTTTGAGAGTCCCTGGGACGTTAGCACCCGCTCCGGCTCCCAGAGCTTCCTCCAGAGCCTTCAGAAACATAAGGCACTGAGGGGAGCCAGGTCCTTGGAGGAGCTGCTAGGGTTGGGGGAGCTAGGCTGTGGAGGTCCCTGACTATAGCTGGTGCTCTGGACAGGAAAGGTGGGCTCTAGCAGCTACATAGGATGGAAGCCCTCTCAGGCCTCACTGGCCAATGACTGAAGAATAGCCCAGCCCCACGAGGTTCCCAAAAGCCAACTTGGGAGTAGAGGCACTGGACCTCAGAAGCAGCTCACCAGTTCACAGAGGAGAGTGCACATCACATCACACAGCGTGGCTCATTTCTTTTTTAACATTTTGTGTCTTTCAGAGGAAGAAACTTAACCAGATGGTGGTGTGGCACTGGAGTTTGATTCTGCTGAGCCTAGGAGGGCCTTTGGTTCCTGGTCTGTCTGACTCCTGCCCTCTGCCCTGCGGCAGATGGAATAAAGTATAAGTTTTCTTGGTCTCTCTCCCTCATCGTTTGCCTCTTCATCCTCCCAGCAGCCCTTGGGTTAGGGAGTGAGGCCTAGCTGCTTCTGTCTGGCCTTCATTCTTGAGCATTGCTAGAGGCGCTCCTGGTACAGATGAATTTCCCAGAGTGTCCTTTTGGAATCCCTTGAAATAATCCTTTCGTAGGCAGTGTTAATTGCGAGGTAAGTGATGGGGGTCCCCGCAAGGAGTCCACTGGCACAACCCTCGGGCCTGCTGGCGTGTGCAAGACCAGACTGTTGCCTTAGAAGGCCAGATGTCTCTGGGTCACCACCAAGACAGGATCACTGCTCTTGAGAATGCCACCTTGGAAGATGTTGATGGATGTTCCATGGAGTGGTGATTGTGTTGGTTTCGTAAATTGTTTTCAAGCTTGGCTTGGGCAGGTGACAAAATCTGAAGCCAAAGCCCACAAAAGCTGTGTGTCATAAGAAAGCTCTGGTTGTTTTGGCTGAGTCAACTTTTCTGGGTGGATGCTGTTCTGTTCTGGACACTGAAGTGATTACCCTGCTGGATAACCAAGCATTCTATAAGTACCTGGCCACCACTGCTTTCAGAACTTAATGCTAATGGAAATAACAGCATCTTACAAGTGAAATAGATTCAGCTTTGTAGTAGAATTCCCAAAGTTAGAATTTTAATCAAAATAATTGTGCCTCAGGAAGCACAAATATATGTATATATTTTTGTGTGTGCTTTTGAGAGTTGAACCCAGAGTTTCAAGCATGTCAGGTGCTCTACACTGAGCCATGGCCCTAGCCCTTGCAAGCAAAAATTTACTGGGGCAAAATTTACTTTGTCGTTAGGGATAGTGGAGAGAAAAAGCAAAAAGTTTGTGTGGAGTTTTCATGGTAGTTTTAAAATACATAAGGTGGTTGGGCTGGGGTTGTGGCTCAGTGGTAGAGCACTTCTCTAGCACACATGAGGCACTGAGTTGGATCCCAGCACCACATAAAAATAAACAAAGGTATAAAAAAGTACATATATATATTTATATGATGGTGTGACAGGTGCCATAAAGTTTCAAGCTTAGAATTCAAACATGTGGCCCAGTCTCAGGATTAACTGGGGCTGGCAGTAGCCAAGGCTCATTCTCTAAGTACTTTGCATCAGATTCCATTATGTCTGTGTCCTGCACCGGGCTGCCAAGTCCAGTGCTAAAAGTGGTCCTGCACTCAAAACCTAGTAGATCCTGTCTGCAATGCAGGCTCTACCCAGCTTTAGGGCCCTGAATACATCATCCTTACCTCCCACTACTTAGCAAATAAGATCCTTAGATTTTTTCACTATTCTCCTAGCACCCACTCCAGTGCTTTTTCAAGTGCTTATCATGGGATCACTAAGTCACTACAAAAAAGCTTATGTTCTCATGGAGCTTTTCCTTGGTAGTACAGAGTGTGAAGAAAATAGACATGTGGCATTCTTTAGTGGGTACTTTGGCTCGAGAGACCAGGGAAGTGTTTTCCTAGAGGCCCAGCTATGATTTTTAATGAAAAGCAGCTCCAGTCATGCAGAGCTCAAGACCAGAAAGTTATTTCCACACTGTCTTTCCGGAAGAACCCTCAGTTTCATTTCACTGGAGTACACAATACCCTTAGAAGGTTCTCATCCTTCCCTCAGAGGTACACCATATTCTGCCCACATCCTGGAAGCCACCTGCCACAGGAGAAGCTGACATTGATCGTGTTCGCACCTCTCCTGTCATTGATGTTTCCCCTCTGGGCTTCAATTCCAGGATGTACTTCCAAACTGTGATCTTATGCAAACCAACCACTAAACCTACATTTGGAAACTGCCCCTTGCTCCTGTCCTGATTGAAGATCAAGTTAGTCCGGTGGCCTGTTGCTCTATAGACACTACTGAATCACCGCAGCAAAAACTAATTGTCCTATCTGTCCCACAAAACTGAGGAGGCCAATTAGGTTGTATTTAGCCTTGGGCTTCACTGGGAATTTAAAAACATGGGTTTTCTCCAGAACTCTTCTCCCTTCACTCACATGTGAAGAGGCATAGTTTAAAAACGAGACTATCCCAGATCCGCTCTCCAGTCCAATCCCCAAATCTCGCCAGCTCCAGACCCCCTCTGCTAGCACCGGCAGCACGTGCGCCGCTCCCGCGCCCCAGCCTGGGGCTGCTGCAGGCCAGCGGGTCCCGGCGTGCTGCGCGCCGAGCACGTGACCCCGCCCCCTGCCATTGGCCGGGCGGGAGGGGAGGGGCGGGGCCGCGGCGGGCGCGAGGCTACCCGCCTCACTCGACTGCGGCCTGCGGTCCCGGCGGCCGCGAGGTTCGATCTCCGCTGGGGCGGCGGCCGGCGGCGCGGGGCCGGGACGCAGCCTGTCCACGCGCACGCGCAGGCAGCAGCCACCCGGGCGCGCGCGGCGGGCGAGGCGCGCTGGACATCCTTGTCTCTGCCCAGGAGGGCGGGGGCGGGGCCTGCACGCCACACCTCCTTCAGTCTCCAGCCCGGGGGCAGGGATGTGGCTGAGAGATTGTGCCGGCGGAGGGTACCGCGGGCCTGGGGCGCCCCTCGAATGAGCGGGAAATCGGGGGACACCCTCTGCTTCCCCTGGGTGTCCAATACGAAAGGGGATGGCACCTGCGGGAAAGGAGATGGGAGATGAGACGGAAGGGTCCGGGACTCCTGCGAGCCCCAGAGCCCTCATGGAACAGACCGCGTGGGGGCAAGTGAGCTCCAAGGTCCTGGGGTTCCGGTCCCGGCTGCGCCTCACGTTGCGGTGAGGGCGCACGCAAGCCCTTGCTTCTCCCTGGGCATCTGATCCCCATTCCTCGGAAAGACAAGGCTAGCACCTGCCGGCACCCGCGAGGTGCGAGGCCTCCCCTCTGGTCTGCCGCAGGATGCACCTCTCCGCCGCGGCCCGGCTCTGGGGACCCCCGGGGCTGCTCCTGACTCTCGTCCTGCACCCGACTCTGTGCGTGAGCTCCCACCGGGACTACTGCGTGCTGGGCGCGGGGCCCGCGGGCCTGCAGATGGCCTCCTTCCTGCAGCGGGCCGGCAGAGACTATGTGGTCTTCGAACGCGCGTCGGCCCCGGGCAGCTTCTTCACTCGCTACCCGCGGCACCGCAAGCTCATCAGCATCAACAAGCGCTACACAGGAAAGGCCAACGCGGAGTTCAACCTCCGCCACGACTGGAACTCCCTACTCAGCCACGATCCCCGGCTCCTCTTCAGACACTACTCCCGCGCCTACTTCCCTGACGCCGGCGACATGGTGCGCTACCTGGGCGACTTCGCAGACAGGCTGGGGCTCCACGTGCTGTACAACACCACCATCACCCACGTCACTCTAGACAAGGACCAGCGAGCCTGGAACGGCCACTACTTCATCCTGATTGACCAGAAGGGCCATACATACCAATGCAGGTAAGGGACCTGCGCCGGAGCTGGCCAGCTGCAGCTGAGGTCTTTCCCAGAGGGACACTTTGGTTACTTGGAGATGTGGGAGAAATGGGAGAAGCAGGGCATTTCTCCCACTCCTGGATCCAACTGAGGTTCTGCTTAGGCACCGTTTCTCAAGTGTGTCCTTTAAAAGTTGTGGCAAATTTCTTTCCTCTGGATTTGCCAGTCTTTGCTACTTTCATATTCACTGTGATGCTGGTGTCAAGCAGAAACAGTTTATGTGTCCCCAAAATCTATCTTAAAGAGCATTTTCTAGAACTAGTGTCCCCAGAATGCATGATGGGAAATACTGGGTCAAGTGTCCAGCCAGGGTCGGCCCAGTGGGATTTCAGAACCAAACAGAAGTGAGAGGCCCAACAGGAAGTGCTTCCAGTGACCATTTTTAGCTTGTTTTGGCTTGAGAGTCAACTTAATATTGCCTGGGCCCCCAAAATTTGTTTAATCTTCACAAGGAACTGAGGGGGGAAGTTCACTGATCCCATTTGACAGGTGAATACCTGGGGCTCAGAGAAGTTGGGTAATTAATGCTGTGTCACACCGCTTGTATGTGGTAGAACTGCGATTTGAGCTCATATTTTTCTGACTCCAAATCCTGTGTTCCATCCGCTGCATTAGACTGCTTCTCCTTTCCTGGCCATTAGCCTTGAACTTGGCCCCAGGCAGGTGCTCAGCAGTGTTCACCTGCTCTGTTATGTAGGCCCAGCATTGCTTCTTGCCTCTCACAGCCCAGGGGCAGAAGACTGTGCTGATCTGGACTCTCACACTTCAGGCAGCTGTGCTGCAGCAGAAGGGAGTCAGTTAGGAGCAGAGTGGATAAGGATCAGAAGAAAGGACCAATAGGGCTCTGTGTGCTCCTTCCACAGGCCATCCAGTTCTATTTTGAAACCACCCTGTGATCAAAGCATTCTGCAGGCCAGCAGGATCCGACTCCCAAACTGACCACTGCTGGATCCTACGCCCTTCTCCTCTCCAAAGAGCAGGACTTTGGAATCACACCCATCTGAGCACAAAGTGCTCTGCTGCTCTTAGGAACTCACAGGAGCTGCATCTCCTCGCCTGGAGAGAGACCACTCAGCTCACTCCAGGCTGCTTTGAGGAGTAAACACACGCACCAGTATAGGGCCCACCACCCAAGTATTGCTTAGCAGACATTCATACCTAGGAGGCAGGTCAGGAGGGGAAACAGAATTCAGGCTCCATTTGCATCACCAGGGGAGGTGCTTCACCTGATGGCTGTGATCAACATTAGGTTGATTTTTCAGTTTTCTCACAGTATCACTTTCTCCTCAATCAGAAAGCATAATTAAGCCTGTCGAGATGGCCCACACCTATAATGCCAGCAGCTCAGGAGGCTGAGGCAGGAAGATTGTGAGTTCAAAGCCTGCCTCAGCAACTTAGCAAGGCCCTAAGCAACTCAGAGAGACCCTGTCTCTAAAAAAAAATATATAAAAAAGGGTTGGGGATGTGGCTCAGTGGTTAAATGCCCCTGGGTTCAATCCCTGGTCCCAAAAAAGAAAGAAAGCATAATTAATCCCCAGGATCAGTGTGATGGATGGAGCACACTGTGCAGGCATGTGTACCCCCTGGGCTGTGAGGTCTTCAAGAGGAAGGTCTTGCAGTATGGGCTGGGTCAGCAAGTGGCCGAGTGATGAGTGAGTGAGTGAATGAACGTCTGTCACCTGTTAGGAGCCTGCAGTCGGGGTGAAGCAGGTGGTTTTAACCAAGTAATCTTATCGCTGAGAGACTGCACTATCTTTCCTGTGTCCTTACCTGCAGTGTCCTCCTTGTGGCCACTGGTGTGTCAGTCCCCAACCAGGTTGACTTCCCTGGCTCTGAATACGCGGAGGGTTATGAGTCTGTGTCCGTGGATCCTGGGGACTTTGTGGGTCAGAATGTGCTGATACTGGGCCGCGGGAACTCGGCCTTTGAGACGGCAGAGAACATCTTGGGTGTCACGAACTTCATCCACATGCTGAGCCGCTCCCGGGTGCGGCTCTCCTGGGCCACCCACTACGTTGGAGACCTCAGGTATGCTGCATCCTTGTACTGAAAGCCTGTAGCAGTCCAGGATCTGTGTCACTGTAACAAAATACCTGGGGCTGGTCCACTTACAAAGAAAGGAGTTTTAGGGCTGGGGATGTGGCTCAAGTGGTAGCGCGCTTGCCTGGCGTGCATGAGGCCCTGGATTTGATTTCAGCACCACATAAAAATAAAGATATTGTGTCCACCTAAAACCTAAAAAATAAAATATTTTTTTAAAAAAGAAAAGAGTTTTATTTAGTTCATACTTTCAAAGTGGGAAGTCCAAATGGCCTGGTATTGGCTCTGTCAAGGTCTCCCCTGCCTGTGTCACCTCACGGCAGATGTCATCAGGATCACAGGAACACAGGAGGGAGCAGTCACGTGGTGAGATGGGAAGACAGATGAGGGAAAGGGTCAGGTTTGCTAAAACTGTCTCGCTAGACAGTGGCCTTCTCTAGGCTCCACCTCTGAAGGTCCCCCACCCTCCCAACATCACCACGCTGTGGACCAAGCTCCCAACACTAGTCCTTGAGGACACGCCACTGCCCAACCCTCGCAAGCCCCAAATGTGGGAAGAACCACCTCTCACACCCCTCCTGGCCCTGCCGGACTCACCAGCCCTCCTGAGTCCCCTCCTGTCCCCTTGCATTCTCTTGGGGCCCCAGAGCTATCAACAATGGCCTGCTGGACACCTATCAGCTGAAATCCCTGGACGGGCTTCTCGAGTCGGACCTGACGGATCTGGCCATCGTGAAGGACCACGAGGGCAGGTTCCACATCACCCTGAAGTTCTTCCTGGAGGAAACCAGCGCCAACCAGAGTGCTGATGCCATCCCCCTCCCCCAGGACGACAATGACAACTTCGCCATGCGAGTAGCCTACGACCGGGTCATCCGCTGCCTGGGCTGGAGATTCGACTTCTCCATCTTCAACCAGTGAGTCCCACGGGGAAAGAGGCGGAAGCACCTTCTGACCTCCTGGGGACACAGAGGCCACACAGTGGGCCATTGAGAGAGTTTTCAGAATGTCCCTGAAAGATCTGAGGTAGGTTCCCCTGGTTTCCCTTTCAGGACAGTGATTCTCTGTCCACTGCAGCTCCCAGATGGTCCTGAGACCCTCCATCAGGGGTCCTCCCCTGAGTGGTCAGGTGGGCGGTCAGGCCCAGACAGGGGTGAGCTTCTCCAGGGCCATGAGCACAGGCCAGGTCAACCTGGCATCTCTGCTGGTCAAATCTGGGTGCCCTCGGAAGGTCACTTGATCACAGTTTGCCTCAGTTCTTTATCTCTGCCCTGGGGATACTCGTTTCCTTCTTATATGGTCATGTGAGGATTAATATAAGACAGTGCTTGGCATATCTATATGCTCAGTAAAATGTCAGTTCCTGTCTGGCATGATGGCACACGCCTGTAATCCTGATGGCTCAGGAGGCTGAGGCAGGAGGATCTCAATTTCAAAGCCAGCCTTAGCAATTTAGGGAGACCCCGTCCCAGAATAACGTAAAAAAGACTATGGATGTGGTTCAGCGGTTAAATACCCCTGGGTTCAATCCCTGGTACCAAAAAAAAGTTAATCTCTGAGCTGGGTGCAGTGGTGCACACCTGTAATCCCAGTGGCTTGGGAGGCTGAGGCAGCAGGATCACAAGTTCAAGGCCCTAAGCAACTCAGTGAGACCCTGTCTCAAAATATAAAAAAGGGCTGGGGATGTAGCTTTGTGGTTCAGTGTCCCTGAGTTGAATCCTTGGCACAAAAAAATAAAAAGTTCCTTAAGTTATTCATAATGGATTTTGAAGGACTGCCCCCAGTGGAGCCTGGCCTGTAGAGGTTGCTACTCGGACACGTGTGAGGGTTGGCCCAGAGCATCCGCTCACTCTCTCTTGCCTTCTGGCCAGGGCACAGGAGGACAAGGGCCTGCCCAGACCCTCCTTTCCCCTCAGGTGACAGCAGGCCTCAGGTTTGGCCCAGAGCCTAGCCTTGGGCCAAGCTTGGATTGGGCTCTGTCCCTGACCTGCGTGTCCTTGATCTAAGCCCAGGTGCTTCATCTATGAGATGAAGACTTCGTCCCCACCTCCAGTGGGATGGGTGGAAAGGGCTTCCTCCACCGAGGACTGTGACTGACCCCTTTCCACTCCCAGGTCCCTCAGACTCAGCTCCGGGAGCGAGTTCAGCAAGAAGTACCCGCTGATCAGAGCCAGCTATGAGTCCAAAGGCAGTCGCGGCCTCTTCATCCTGGGCACCGCCAGCCACTCGGTGGACTACCGCAAATCAGCTGGGGGCTTCATCCACGGATTCCGGTACACAGGTGAGTCCAGTGAGAGGGCCACTGTCCCCAGGCAGGACCCGTCATTATCCCTGGGGCTTATGAATACTCCAGACCTCCAGAAGCGTTAAGGGACTGTTCACCAGCAGTCAGTGGTCATGACTTCCTGTTAGGCAGCTGACCCCAGGTTTTCACGGCCTGGGGGTCTGCCTAGAAAAGTAGCAACAGATACAGCATAAAGGTGGGTGGCTCTGGGGTGGCCTGTGTTGTGCTTAAAGCCTGAGGGGTTAACAGAGTCTAACTTAAGTCAGCACGGTGGACACGCCTGTAATCCCAGTGACTCAGGAGGCTGAGGCAGGAGAATCATAAGTTCAAGGCCAACCTGTCAACTCAAGAAAGACCCTGTCTGAAAGTAAAGTAAAAATGGGGGGGAGGTAGCTCAGTGGTAGAGTCCAATCTCCAGGGCCACAAAGCATGCTAACCTGGATGGGTGGTCTTAGAGGTGACCTTACCCTGGCTGAGCACATCCCTATCATCAGAGGTGAAAAAGAGGTGACTTCTGCCCGCTCAGGGCTGTCCTGAGGCTGAATAAGGTGATTCCTGGGCACCCATCAGCCAGCTGGGTAGCTCTCTCAGGCACAGGCTGCCTGCTGAAAGATTGAAAGAAAAGTTGCAATCAGATTAAATACTTGTGATTCACAACTCTCAGTTCTGAAGCTATAAATTTTCTGCTAACTTGAAAGTGCACATCAAATACTAAAACATAATTTTGAAAAATAATTTGACTTATTGTACAAGAATAATGCCCAACCCAAAATTGATGCCTTGTGATTTTAAGGATAAATGGGAACTAGACGGTGAGAGAGAAAGAGAGAAGGGGACTTCCCCTCCCTCTGCCCTCCCTTTCCCTCTTTTTTTTTTTTTCCTGTGCTGGGGATTAAACCCAGGGCCCTTGGCTCTACTTGGAGCTACACCCCAGTCCTTTTTATTTTAAGACAGCGCCTCCCTAAGTTGCTGAGGCTGGCCTTGAACTTGCAATCCTCCTGCCTCAGCCTCCTGTAGTCACTGGGGTTACAGGAATGAGCCACTAGCCAAATCCTCATTTTTCTCAAGAAAGATCTGAGGGTCAGAGTTTTGATGACTTTCTCACTGTATCTGGGGCCTGTTGTTAATGGAACTCCAGTTGCTGCATCCCCCGATTAAGATAGGTATTACTATGAAAACGATTATCACGAAGACCCAAACAGTAATGATGATATTATAACTTACGTTATAATTAGAGGCCCTGGATTTTCATAGCTTGGCTTGAATTAAAAGGTATAGGGTGCTCCTTGCTCCTCTGATGAAGCACCAAAGAGTAGGTATAATGTGCGGGATCGCTGTGATTTCTTGAGAATAACTGACGTTGGATAAATGTGAATCTAAAAGTTGGATCCTCTTTTTAGCAGATCCCAAGTCAAATATTCATGTTGAATTGCAAATTCAAGAGAGCAGTTTCAGTTCTGCTCAGGCTTCTCCCGACTTCTTTACCCCTTAACAGAGAAAGAAGTAGATCAAAGCCAGTTGACTGGGATATTTAACTGCTAACTAAGTTTTCCTGGGGTTTGATCCCACCAATTTAGTAAATTTTTAGCTTAAAGTGTTTGATTTGCATTCAGTGGATGTAAGATTCAGTCCAGAGTTCAGAGCAGAAGCAGCATGCTAGGCCCAGGGAAGATCAAGCCTCTTAGGTCTGGGGTGTCTCAGTGGTAGAGCACCTGCCCGCACCGGCAAGGCACTGGGCTCCATCCTAAGCACTGCTTATGAATAAAAGTCCATCAACAAAATATATATATATATATATTTAGGTGATGGAAGGAAAATGTTTCCGGCGGATGTGGCTCAGGGCCCCGGCTTAGTGTGTGGGAGTGTCTGGTGGGAGCCAGGCCACTGACATAGGCCAGGCACGCGGGAGCCTTTCCACAACCGCAGAATTTATTGAATAAAATGAATCCACAAGGCCAGGTGTGGTGGCGCACGCCTGTAATCCCAGCTGCTGGGGAGGCTGAGGCAGGAGGATTGTGAGTTCAAAGCCAGCCTCGGCAAGTTAGTGAGGCCCTGTATCAAAATAAAATATAAAAAAAGGGCTGGGGATGTTGCTCAGTGGTTAAGAACCCCTGGGTTCAGTAATCCCTGGTACCAAAATAAATAAATAAATTCACAAGTCAAATCACTTTGTTGGCTTTAATTCTCATGTCCCTTTGGTAATCGGGGTCTTTTCTTCCTTTCCACTCTCGATTACTAATATGAAGTCACACTTAACAAGAGAGTAATAGGTTCCAGAATGGCTGAGAAAGGCTAAGGTGGCCACAGGGATTCAAGAGCCTTGCCCAGGGCAAAGGCAGAGAGCAGATACAAGTGAGGATTAGGTCACAGCCAGAGGCCTTGCTCAGGCACAGAGCTGTGGAGGGTGAGGGCTGGGTGCAGGGTGAGGGGCTGGGTGGCAGCAGGGCAGGGTGGTGTCTAAGCAGCCTCATCAGACAGACGGGGCTGGGGCTTCACCAGAGGTCTGGTAAGAGGATGTCTCTGGTGCCTCTCCTGTTACCCTCCAGGTGAGGATGACACCATTCGGAGGTCTGTTTGATAAGCTCCTGGGCCTGGTTTCACAGTCGTGAGCTTAATACCTCATGTGCCCATGTGTCTCTGATTTAATCCAGTGAGTTCACAGGCGTCACTCTGGTTTGTTTTTTTGTTTTGTTTTGTTTGTTTGTTTGTTTGTTTGGTGCTGGGGATTGAATCCTAGGCCTTGGACATGAGTGGCAAGCACTCTACCAACTGAGCCATATTCCTAGCCCACAGGTGTCACTTATTAGCACAGTTGATTCACTCACCGGTTTGTGCCTTCTGATTGTGCTGGGCAGCCGTTTGGTAAGTTCAGCATGTCCAGTATCTGGTGGTTATCTATCCATTTGCCCAGACGAGCTACGGAGTCCCCCTGCCTTAGCCCTGAACTGAGTAGCTCAGGGCAGGCCCTGCTTTGCAGGATGGAGTAACTCTGCTGTTCTGCACCACACCCACGAACTCGGCCCGGGCAGTCTGTCCTCCACAACTAGGCCCTGGGTTCAATTCCTAGCACCGCAAAAAAAAAAAAAAAAGTGTGTGTGGGGGGGGGTTGTTTCATATTTTCCAGTGGAAATCTTGTTTTAATATCATTGATTGTTGGAAATATTATTAGGGTTGTGCAATAAGTTAATCATATGCAAAAATAGAAATTTAGTAATGCCTGCACAGCTGTGAATGTTTTTGTTTTGTTTTGTTTTGTTTTTGCTTTCCACCAATACTGGGGATTGAACCCAGGAGGCTCTACCCCTGAGCTACATCCCAGTCCTTTGTATTTTGAGAAGCTGATAAGCTGCCCAGGCTGACCTCAAACATGGAATCCTCCTGCCTCAACCTCCCCAGTAGCGAAGATCATAGGCAAGCACCACCGTGCCAGGCTGGCTGTGGACGTTGGTATAATAATGCTGTAATTTTTTGAGTTTTTTTTCCCCCAGTCCTGGGGATTGAACCAGGGGTGCTTAACCACTGAGCCACATCCCAGCCCTTTTTATATTTAGAGACAGGGTCTTTTTGAGCTGCTCAGCACCTCAAAACAACCTCGCTGTTGCTGTGGCTGGCTTTGAACTTGCGACCCTCCTGCCTCAGCCTCCCAAGCTTCTGGGATTACACGTGTGTGCCACCTCACTGGGCTGTTAATTCTTGAATAATGATATATTTAGTTAAAAATCCTATGAGGGAAGCTAAATCTCTTAGGGATAATAAGGGGTAAGAACTATAGGAATTATAGTGGTACTCCGTTTCATGGTATGATAAGGATAACGTTATGGTACCTCTGATTAAGAGTTATATTATGAATACCATAGTTGTCAATATGAAATAAGTCAGCATTTTCTGAAGAATCAACCGAGGAGCGGGGACTTCATGCCTCCTCCTCCAGGTTAGAGTGGGTGGGCTCAGCTGTCGTCACCAGCTGTGGCTTGAGAATGAGTCCCTGCTCCTTGGGGCCATCAACCCCTGAATCCATGGTTGCCTCTGGAACTGGAGGGTCCAGGGGAGGCCCCACCCACAGCCTCGCGCCCCACAGACAGTGGCACTGGCAGCTCCTCGGGCTGCTGAGCGGGTGCTCTGCCGCCTGCAGCTGCTGCCTAAACCAGTTAATTTGCCATTAAAATCCCTAGGGGTCCCATTGCTGCCCCACTTGACCTTGACAGTGGTCTGGCATCCCGCTGCCCTTCCCACCTGGCAGGGAGAGGTCATCGTGCCTTGCAGTCCATTCCCAGATGATGTGTCGTCAGGAAGGAGCTGGAGGGCTCCGGATGTCTGAACACCATCCCGGCTGCCAGGCCTCACCATCCCACATGCGCTGCCACCCATTCCCGCCGTCCTGGCCACCACTGCCCAGCCCTCTTGCTTCCTCTGTCCCCATTTTTCCATGCACTTCATCCTCAGCCCCATGAAACAGATCCTGTTAGTTCAACTCCATTTTCCGGATGAGAAAACTGGCACACAGAGAAGTCAAGTAACCTGCCCTTAGCCACCCAGCCAGGGGATGGCAGAGTGGGATTCACATCCATACCCGCTGACTCTAAAGCCACACCTAGGCAGTAAGCTTCAGGCAGGTGGGAAGCAGTCCTGGGTGCACAGGCAACTGACCACTGTCCCCAAGCAGCTGACAGCTCTCCCGGGGGTGGGACAGTGGTAACCCCGTGGGGTCGGTCCGGACCTTGCCATCATTCCGCTGAGAAACTGTCCCAAGGGAAGCAAAAGACAGCGAGGCAGCAGGACGTGATGGACGACAGAGATGCCAGACAGATGCTGGGTGGGACCCCACAGCCATCCGCTCCCTCCTGAGCACTGTCCAGGCCGTCCCTGTGGCCTCGCTGGCCCGCCCTCCAGGGCTGTGGTGCCCGCGGGAACTGCCTTTCGCTAAGCACAGACCTCGGCCTCCTGGGCTCACAGTTCCTGGGCTCCCTTCCCTCTGGACACTTCTGGAGCCTCTGCAGGGCTGCTGCCCACGGGGTCATGGTGTCCTCCACCCCTTCCCACGCGGCCACTGCTGGCACTGCACCTGGCACTACTACGGGCTTCGCCTCCCCAGGCCTCGGGCCGCAGCCTCCACCCCCCCACCCCCGAGCTCTGGCTGCTCCCCTCTCCACCCTCAGCTCAGCCACTGCGCCTCAGGAGCCAGGTCCTGGCGCCGGACTCCTCCCGGCTCGTGGCCACCCGGCTCCTCCACGCAAGCCCTGTTGGCGCCTGGCCTTCACTGTCTGGGGCATTTGCTGGTCAGCTGTGGGGGAGCAGGTGTCTGTGTGCAGTGCTCCTCCCAGGACACGCCGCCAGCAGCCCCAGGGAAAGGAAGCCCCTCTCTGTCTCTTAGCTACCAGCTGCTCCTGCACCCCGTGTAGAGATAAGAGCGCCTCAAAATAGCACTAGAGGCAGAGGTGCGGGAGGGGCGCCATCCAGGCTTTCCAGGTGGGCGGCTCTGGTGGGAACGGGCTGGAGGGCAGCGAGGCTCTGGGTCTGGGTTGGGCTCCTCAAGTGAGGTGACAGTGCAGGGACTTCCACTGTGAGGGCCTCAGGCAGAGGTGGACAGACCCAGGCTTGTGCCCCCCCCCCCCCGGCCTCACCCATTCTTCTGCCTGCTCACCCCAGGGGACGCCCCTGAGTGGCGTCCCTGTCCGTCCCCATGTGTGCATGGCCACAAGCAGAGAACAATTACTGTTTGGAACTTGACCCAAACCTTTGCTGCCCCCACTCCGCCCGAAGGCCTGCACCTCCCGCAGAGTGAACACAGATACGACCTGCAGTGCCACAGGCTCTTCCTCCCTCTGGCCCTTTCAGTGCGAGCCGTCCACCGGCTGCTGGAGCATCGGCACCACGGCGTGGCCTGGCCCTCCACCGAGCTGCCCATCACACAGCTCACCAACGCCATCATCCGGCGCGTGAACGAGGCCTCGGGGCTCTACCAGATGTTCAGTGTGCTGGCTGATGTCATCCTGCTCAAGGAGTGAGTAGCTCGCCTGCCCCCCGCCCAAGGCTTCACCCACGCACCCTGCAGCACACCACTGCCCAGTCTGTCTGTGGGGGAGCCCAGCTCTTCCCTCTTAAAATGAGTCGGGGTGGGGTGGGGCGGGGAAGTGGAGTCAGACAGTTGGTCCTGGGCGTGAACTCTGGGTTTATCCTTTTGCTGTGTGACTTCAGGCAAGTTAGTTAACCTAACTGAACCTTTTTTGCACAATGGGGATGATCATCTTACAGGGGTAAAGGAGGAGGTCAAAGTCACTGGTGGAAACCCTTCGGCACCAAGGTGCAGAAACAGGGCACCCCTGGGAGGTCAGTCCCCAGCATCGGAGTCAGAGTTCCCACACTCCGGCCAGGACCCACTCGGTCCAGGTGCTTATCCATCAACAACAAGCAGCAGAGCACTGAGGACCGTGCCTCAGAGGACACCTCGCAGAGCACCCAGGGAGCCGCCTGGAGGGGCAGCTGGGGAGGGGACCAGGGAGGGGACCAGGGGAGGGGAGCAGGGGAAGAACTTCTGGCCCCTGGATCGGAGCGTGGCCAAGTCCAGGGACGCGCACTCAGCACAGCCCACGTGGCCCTCGACCGCCCCCTTTCACCTGGACACCCAGCCTGTGGGCAGATCCCCGAGCGCCGCCCGCCTTCAGCAGTGTCCAGAACCCGATGGCTCTGGCTGGCTGCCCCATCTGCTGAGGTACCGCCGCTGGTAACCTGGGCTGTTTTCCACGCAGTGGCCAGAGGGGCCCCTCGAGAGGAGGTGGCTGATGCCTTCTCGGCTGCACTATTGGCCCAGGGAGACCGAGTGCCCATCACCGAGCGCTCGGCTCCCTGCTGCCCGACCCCTCCTGCTCTGTGGCCCAATCCCCGAGCTCCCAACTAGCTCAGGGCGGCCACTCCCTTCCGGCCTGTAGGGCTCTTCCCTCCAGTGTGCACTTCAAGGTGTGGAGTGTTGTGGAATCTCTCCGAGGTCTGTGAGAGAGTGGTGGTCACAGCAGGCTCACATGGGTGTGTGCAGGCTGGTGCTCCGTGGTAGGGCACTCGCCTGACACGTGGGGGCCCTGGGTTCCACCCCAGCACCAGACAACAAGGAGAGGCAGCCAGAGTGGCCGCCACTGCGCTGGCACTGTGGGGAAGGGCCATGTGGCCAGGCAGCCGTGCCCACACCTGTCCCCGGCCACGGCTCTGAGCCCCATGTTGCCCCCCAGGAATGCCTCGGCCTTCGAGTACCTGGAGGAGTTCCCCATGCAGATGCTGGCCCAGCTGGAGACGCTCACCGGGAGGCCGGCCAGGCACGGGCTCTTCGTGGTCAACATGGAGTACGGCAAGAACTTCTCTGGGCCCGACAAGGATGTCTTCTTTTACGACCGGTCGGTGGGGCACACCGAGGACGCCTGGCTGTCCAACTTCCTCCACCCTGTCATCTACTTCTACAGACGCCTCCCCACCGGTGAGCGGGCACTCGCCACAATTCATTCCTCCCAGCGCTCCTTCAGCTGACAGAGGGGACCCTCGGGGACTCTGCCCAGAGACCTGGCCGAGGCAGAAGGTCCGAGAAAATTGCCATTTCCAGATTCTGGCACATACTGTGACCTGCATAGGCCACGCTGGAGTGTCATGATCCACCAAGCCCCACACAGGAAGAGGGGCACTGTCATACCAGTGTCTCCAAAGGACAATGACCACAGTGGGTGAGGGGCTGTAGGTGGCATGTTAGAAGGAACAGGGCGAGGAACTAGAACTGACTAGCACAGGACCGAAAGAGCTGGGCCAAGTCTGTTCTTTCATTGCTGTGTGACGTTGGACTGCTACTAAACCTCTCTGAGCCTGGCTTCCTTGTCTGTAAAATGGGGATGACAGTAGTCCCCTCCTGGTAGGATTGCATGAGGACACATCTGACGACTCACCTGGAATGGCAGCAGCTCTGGCGCCGCTTAGCTCCAGTAAACAGGCAGCCTGGGGAACGTGGCTTATCCTTCGGAGCTCAAAGGGCTCCAGAGAAAGAGGGAGGCCAGCTAGGCCTGTTCCCCAGGGCAGGTGGTGCCAGCAAGGGGAGGAGCACTGAGAGTTAAAGCTGCCCGAGGCTGCGGCTGGCCTCTGGAGAAGGTGCCCGCACCGGGCTGGCCGGGTCTGGGCTCAGCAGGCTCCTCACCGGGGGTCCCCGGGTGGGAGGCTGGACCAGCGAGCCCTAGACCCTTTCATCGCGGGGCTCCGAGCCTCTCGGGGAAGGACGGCTGGGAAGGGGCCTCAGTCCAGGGAGGGGGCGGACACCAACCTTGAGCTGCGGGTCCTGGCGCTGCCCTCGGGGGCCACAGTGACGATCCAGTTCCTCTCGCTCTGTCAGCCCTCCTCCTGGAGCCAGCCCACAGCCCTCGCAGGCATGGATGGGAGCGCGGGAGGCGGGGGACACTGCGTGGCCAGCCTGGCCCTGACCCCCGCCTCCTCCACAGAGCAGGAGGTGAGGTTCCGCCCCGCACAGTGGCCCCTGCCGCGGCCCACGGCCATCCACCACGTCGTGGAAGACTTCCTGACCGACTGGACCGCGCCCGTGGGACACATCCTGCCCCTGCGGCGCTTCCTGGAGAACTGTCTGGACACCGACCTGCGGAGCTTCTACGCAGGTGACGCAAAGGGACCAAGGTGGAGGTGCAGGGACCGCCAGGGAGACCAGGGGCCCAGAACTCCAGAGCCCGTGCCCATAGGGGTTGGGCAAGGTGTTCCCTGCAGCCCCCTCCCAGGACAGTGCCCCCCAAAATACAGCTAGACCGGCAGGGAAAGAAGGCAGCTCCCCAGAGCCCAGACTACAAAACACACCGACCGAGCGGGGCTGGGCCCCCGAGCATCACCGCACACAGTGGGGTGGGAGAGCCCTGTGTAGAGGCCCTCAGCCAAAGCTTGGATCTCGGGGTGAACAGGCAACAAACACTCCACGGAGGGAAAGAGGAGATTGTGGCTCAGTAGTTAAGTACCCCTGGGTTCAATCCCCGTACCAAAAAAAAATATATTATATATATATATATATATATATATATATATATATAATTTATATGTTATATAATTTACATGTATATATTTATTTTGTATATTTATATATTACAGAATTTACATATTATATATTTATATATTATAAACACATACTTATATATAAATACGTATGTTTAACTGATAATCTGGACATATGTAGATGCACAAGGTTAATTCACAGAGCCAGAGTCAAACACCCTTGAAGAACTGGCAGTCTTGGAGTTCTCAGCTTTGATCAGACTCTGATTCCTGAAATTATATCAGAGGTTCGAGTCCTTGGCTCCAAATGCCTGTCGGTCTCCTGAGATTTCCAGACTCCACAAAAATGCCGTCTGTGTTAGTGGCACGTTCCCACCTTGACTGTGGGCCCCTCCAATAGGCCATGCCAGGCCATCGGGCTCCCACCTCCCTCTCTAGACAGTTCTGGACAGGGCGAGCCACTGAGCCACTGCCTTGAACTGGGAGGACTCCTCCTGGAGACGGCCAGCGGGCAGATGCGGCTCCTCTCTGCCCCGCGCCCCCAGCTGTCCAGCAGCTGCTAGCTCTGGCCTCCAGCTGCTGGGCGTCCGGGCCCACCACGCCTTGCAGAGGGGGTGACATCAGCAGAAGGTTGTGCTGGAGAGATAGCCACCTCACTGTCCTCTGTCCTCCCTGGCACCTGCTCTCTTCCCTGTTCAGAGAGGACTATCTACTTGTCCTGTCGGGGTCCCCTGGTAGAATTCAGAGAGTCAGAGGGACACCATGGGGCCTCTGTCAGCCTGTTTGCCCCAGGAGCCCCACAGTGTCCCCTGTTACATACCCCCTATGTGAGATGAGGGGGCCTGGGAGGTGGAAGGCTTCTCCACAGCTGCAGGAGGTCTCGACCCTCCATGTCCCAGCCTGTCGCCAACTCCCCAGAAGACCCAGCCGACATCCACCTTATCTCTCCTGAGCTTTCAATCAGAGCAAGCCCCGCTTCTCTTCAGGACACACGTCCCAAAACCCCCAGTGGATGCCTGAAACCATGGATAAAAACAAACCCTTGACCTGCAGTGCATGGTGTGGGCTCAGTCATGTCTGGGGCCTCGCTGAAGTCTTCACATAGGCTCGATGACTTTGGGTGCAAAATGTTGATGTCAGTTGGAACAAGTTTCCTGCTCATGTCACCCACCCGCTGGTGTCATGCCCTTCCATCCTAGCACGCACGAGGCACTGTGGCATGACTTTTGAAGCTTGTAGTCAACAGAATCACCAGCATGAATTTCTTTCCCATCACAATTTCACAGATAGAAAATGTGTTCCTATCATAGATTTTAGCAACCACAGCATGTGATTTTTTTTTTTTTGTCTTATTAAGTCTAGAACAGTCATCTTTTCACTGAAAAGAAGTATTTTACAGCTTCTTTTCAGCACATCCAAATTGCTACCATGATTATTCTCATGTTTGGGAGGCATTATCAAGTAAGGGTCACCTAAACACCAGCACTGAGATACTGCCACTGTCATCTGATAATCACAATAACTAAGTAACTAACAGGCAGGTAGTATATACCATGTGTATACACTGGTCAAAGGCAGGATTTCCATCCTAGGCAGGACAGAATATTTTATCTTTTTTGTCCCCACAGTGTTTAGACAGAACTTCGCATGCAGTATTTGCAACTCAAATACTGTTGCAGGAGGCTTCAGCTCACAATTCCACTGAATTCCCACCACATCCAAGCAAGTCTCCAGAAGAGAAGGCTGAGGGTGTGCTCAATGGGAATGAGCTCCTGCCCTAGTTGTCGATGGACCTTTATTTTTTTTATTGATACGTGGTGCTGAGAATCAAACCCAGTGCCTCACACAAGCTAGGCAAGTGCTCTACCACTGAGCCACATCCCCAGCCCCCCAGTCATTTCTGTGGTTGGCTTTGACCTTGGAGCCTTGTTCTCCCAAAAGGTCAAGGCAGCCTCCTGTTTTCGTATCCTCATGGAAAGTCATGATCCATGACTACCCAGGTTGTGTGTGAGGCACCCAGAAAGGTCAGACAGCAGTTTCAAGGGATGCAAGGTCCTGAGCGAGCCCCACTGCGGTGCCCCGGCCCCCCAGCTTTCCCTTCCTGCACCTCTCCTCACCCTCCAGCCTGACTCCCAGCCCGACTCCTCCTCCTTCTGCTTTCGTGCAGAGTCCTGTTTCCTGTTCACCCTGACGCGCCAGAAGCTGCCCCCGTTTTGCCAGCAGGGGTACCTGAGAATGCAGGGGCTCATGGGCACCGAGAGCCTGCGGCGGCATGGCGTGGAGAGTGGGCTCCTGCAGGACTATGCCACCATGGACGAGCCCCTGGAGGACAGCAGCCAGCAGCCTGGGGAACACGGGCCAGAAGGTCACCGCCTGTCTCGGGGGCCTCCACACCCGTCCCTTGACAGCAACAAGGAGGAGCTCTGACAGTCCTCCTGGGCTGTGGGCACCGCGGCCAGGCCTCCCCACAGGCCACGGTCAGCCCTCTCTCCCCGCAGCCCCCTCCACTGATGCATGACAGCCCAAGGCCACTCAGGCCTTGCCAGGTTGACACCAGAGCCACCCGCAGAGCCAGCAGCAGTGGGGCTGCTGCAGCACCACGGTCCCCCTGGCCTGGTCCCTGGTGCCCAGGAAGCGGGGTGAGGAGAAGGGCATCCTCTGCTGGTGTGAGCTGCCTTCTAACGCCAAGCTCTTCCAGCTGGACCGTCACTGAGTGCCAGGCTGGCCCACTCTGTCCCCTTCAAGGGCCCACCTGCTCCTTTCCCTTCACTCCACTCTTGTGACAGGTCCAGAGCCCACCTGGGACCCTTCATGGTGAAACCCACCCTCGTTGTCATCAGGGTTTCTGGGGGCACTTATCTTCAGGCGCCCCGAGGGTTTGCATGGCAGAGAGAAGTCCCTGCATGGCCACCTGGTGCTGAGCTGTGGCTCTCCCAGGGTCAGGGTCATGCCCCAGCCGCTCTGCATCCTGTGTCCTGATCCCCACCCCTCCCCTGGCCTCTGGCGTCCTGAAGCACACCTTGCTTGGACCCACCCCTGCCCAGTATAGTGAAGCTGTTTTGCACCTGTCACATGCACCAGGGGACATGAGCAGATGCCCCTGGGTGGCAGCAATGGTGAGTCATTCCTGGTTCCCTTAACTCTGCAGCTGCTCTTGTCCCTCGTCACTGGGTGCCCTTCGGGGGTTTCTCTCGTTCCTGAGGCAAGGCCTGCGCCTGAGCCTGGTGGTCACTTTCTCAGGGCTGCTCACGAGTTCTTCATGCGGCCATTGAAAATTCCAAAGCCCCTTCCTGGGCTCCGCCTCTTCCCCTCCTGGCTAGTTCCAAAGCCCCTTAGCCACTGGCCTAGCTGTATGCTCAGTCACCTCCTGTCCCTGGCAGAGTTCCAGCACTGCAAGTCCCACACTTCGCCCACAGCAGGGTGACTGTCACCCCCATGATCCTACCTGGGACAGTTTGCACAGCGCTGAAGCTCGTGAATTAAGGGTTTTTCCTGAATCCCAGGTGTGGTGTTCACTGAATTTCACACAGATCTGAGGCGAGCCCACGTAGGACCCTGTGGTCCCCCCTGCCTTTTCCAAGTCATGCTTTAAATGAGTCTTTTAAATGGGGCTGTGCCCAGTGTCCAATCCTGTTCCCGAAGCCCTGGGGCTAGCTGAGCCACTTGTTCAATAACAGTTTGAGGTGCCGTAACAAGTGCTTGGCGACGCCTCGACATGTGACATCTGCTGCCGCCTTCATCTGCCAAGTCAATCATCCCACCAAAATATCAGCCAGCCTTATTTGCTTTTAAGAAGGCAGGATTCCATTCTTGCTCAGTTGATTGGCGATGTCTTCTCTGGTTTTTTTGATTTTAATGAAGATCACTGTGGCATTTGCCGAATCCCCCAGCTGACGGTCACAGCGGTCCCTGCCCCTTCCCTTGGCCTGCCTCAGGTGCCTGTGGCCTCGGGGTGCCCTTCCTGTGGTGTTAGAGAACATTTTCTTTTTTCTTCTGTTTCTGTCTTGGTTTCTGGTACTGGGGGTGAACCCCGGCCTGGAGTAGGTGAGCACACACCCCACCACCCAGTTCCCCACCCCCGGGCCCAGGTGGGTTTCTAACATTGCCCTGGCTCTGCGAATGGACGTCTTCTATGAGCTTGAGTGTAAGGACAGCGAGTGCTGTCACCCTCCAGCACGGCCAGCTCCCTGGGTGTGGATGAAATGGATTCACATTTCCACTTTTATACCTCGATTCATTTTTTTGGCAAGTCTGAGCAGCACAGGAGTAGAGCTTCTGCAGCTGGACCAAGTTCCTCTTTTAACTGAGGCCTGACTTCAATAATTCCTCCTTTTTTTAATATAAAGTTATTGGTGCAAAACAGATGAGCCAGTGAAACAATCTACCATACGTAAATGTTTTCGATAAGAGGTGATTTTAAAAGGAACCCTGCCATACGCAGGGCACACCTGTAATCCCAGAGGCTCGGGAGGTTGAGACAGAAAGACCTCAAGTTTGAGGCCAGCCTCAGCACCTAGTGAGGACCTGTCTCAAGGACTGAGGATGTGGCTCAGTGGTTGAGCATCCCTGGATTCAATCCCTGGTGCCATAAATAAATTTAAAAACAGAAAGGGCTGGGGATGTAGCTCAGTGGTCAGGTGCAGCTGGATTCAGTACCTATTAATTAAAGAAAGGGAATCAGTGCTGGAGATGTGGAGGGTTTTCCCAGCAGGCACAAGGCCCTCGTTCCATTCCCCCTCAAGGAAAAAAAAAAATCACAAATCAATGAAAAGGATCGTGCAGGACCATGCCATGAATAATTTTAGCCCAACTGGTTTGTAGTTTCTGGGGAGTTTTGTTTTAGACCCCTCTGTCACACTGAACTACAAATTAATTCCAGATGAACCTTTGAAGCCATATAAAAACTCAGGTTGAGGACTTTTCCAGTTCAGAAGTAGAAGAAATGAATTTCCAGAGAAAGAGGTTTAACACTCCCAGGACCCGCCGCCAGCCCCTGCTGGTTAATGTGATTAAAGAAAATGGTAAAAAGGCAAAATAGTACGGGCAAAAAATAATCACACTGGAATACACACATTAAAATCAACGTATTTATTACACAAGAATGGTGGACGGCGGGAGAAACGTGAAGCCAGGTGGACTCTTACTGGCTCCTGAAATGTGGAAAGACCGCGGAGCCCAGAGCAGTGTCACACAGTTAAGTGAAAAGAAGCAGGAGGTGAAGTCGCTTCGGCCACCCGCCTGTAACTGAGTAAAGCAGGATGGCTCCGCCCAGGGGCCTGGGGACAGAGCGTCCCCAAGGACAGCCATGTTACCTCTGGGTTTGAAGAAGTAGGTGGGGTTCGGGCTTGTTTCCTTTCTCTGCTTTGTTCAAATTTGTGATTATGATCATAGTGAAATAAATTAATTTTTGAAAAATAATCTCTGGCTTTTTGAAATTTAGAATTGCCAGGGATGAGCAGACACGGAGCCCTTCCCAGAGGACATGTTCCCTTCTTGGCCCGGTGGTGCCAGGGGCAGTGTCCTCTAGCAGGAGCTACTACTTCCTCCCTGGTGGGGAAGAGACCGCAGCCGGTGCCAGGGCGAAACATGCTCCGCCAAAGAAGCGAACTGTAAGTGCCGGGCAGGGGACACTGGGCTGACTCGGCACAACCAAGGTCCTAAAAGACAGAGAATGAAAAATAAAAGTCTTCCCTCTGTGGGGACCTCCTGGTTTAGTCTCCAGCGTATTGTAGAACCCCGAATTCCTTTTGCCTCTAGGATGTGGTGGCGCATACCTGTAATCCCAGCAACTGGGGAGGCTGAGGCAAGAGGCCAGCCTCAGCAAATTAGCAAGACCCTGTCTCAAAATAAAAAACTGTAGTAATAAATAGGGCTGGGGGGCTGGGGCTCAGAGGTTGAGTGCTCGCCTAGCATGCGTGAGGCACTGGGTTTGATCCTTAGCACCACATAAAAATAAAGGTATGTGTTCTCCTACAACTAAAAAATAAAAGTCTTGGGGCTAGGGTTGTGGCTCAGTGGCAGAGCGCTTGCCTCACAAATGTGAGGCACTGGGTTCGATCCTTAGCACCACATAAAAATAAATAAACAAAGATATTGTGCCCATGAATAACTAAAATTTTTTTTAAAAAGTCTTCAAAAAAATTTTTTTTAAAGGGCTGGGGGTGCAGCTCAGTGGTAGAGCACCCCCGGGTCCAGTTTCCAGCACCCAAAATAAAGAAAATGATAAAAAGGGACCTGCAGCCCTGAGCCAGGACCACTCAGCCAAGCCACTCCCAGATACAGAGCTCCAGGGACTTTGAGAAATCAATGTTTGCTGTTCACGTGTTAAATGGGGTCATGTGTTACTTACTCAGCAATAACTATTCCATGCACTGAATAATTAGACTCGCCACAACTACATGAGGAAGACAGAACTCTCCCATCCTACAGATGAGGAAACCAGGCCAGAATGGTTGCACAGAGGACAGTGGTGGGTCCACAGAAACTGCACCATCTTCCAGTCAGGGGCCATCCACTTACTGACGGCAGCCTGCTCCTCGTCACCCTCTGATGGGTCCTTCCTGTGGACACTGGGTGACAAAAAGTTAAGAGATCAATTCTCAAACCCAGGAACATATGTGGTTCCCACAAGAGCACAGAGAAGTTATCAAAATGAAATGCTGATTATACAACAGGCGCCTCCCTCAGAAGGAGAATCAGGTGGGGTGCAGCTTAGCATGCATGAGGCCCTGGGTTCCCTCCCCAGCACCAAACAACAGCAAGGAGAGAGAATTCATCTACTCTGTCAACCCAGAGATCCCGACAGAAGCAGGGTGGGATGACCTGGGGTGGGAGCAGGGAGGGATGACCTGGGGTGGGAGGGGAGCCCCGGAGTCTGGGTGTCGGCCTCAGCACTGTCCGCTCTGCAGCCAGCTCCATCAACCCCAAATTGGATCCTTCCCTCAAAAATCAGCCATGACAGCATCATTTCACCACAGATGCTTATTTTTTAAATATGGTGAAAGTGCTGACTGGATAAAGATTTTTGTCAGACTGCAGACTTTAAAAAAGCATTTAATTCAATCTGGCATCCCAGACGGAATATAAATCTGCTACAAAGTGAAGTTGATGGGCAAATGTGAGATGCTCCAGCCCAAGTATTTTATCCAAATGCATCACACAACCAATCCACGGAGCCCGAAATAAAAAATAGCACGAACAGATGTATCTAAGCAGAGAAGAAAGGGACAGCAGGCTCTCCCGTCTCGCTCCTGTCTCCATTCTGCATCAACAAGCCTGAGACACCAACTCTTCTGGAGAAGCCCCAAGCTTGGTGCTCACTGCACAATCTTCCAAGTATCATGGGCTTTCTCAGCCTATTGAAGATGTTACCATCTCAGACCCAGTCTCTCAAATTGTCCAAATCATCAAAAAATAACTGGGTGCAGGAGAGCCCCACTATAAGAAAAAGACGACAAAGACATATCTAAATATTCAGTGTGGGGCTGGGGATACAGCCCAGTTGGTAGAGTGCTTGCCTCACATGCACAAGGCCCTGGGTTCAATTCTAGCACCATAGGGGGGGGAAACAAAACATTCAGTGTGTTGTAATCTCTCAATGTTGTATAGAAATGAAACAATGGCAGCCAGGTGCAGTGAAGCATGCTTGTAATCCCAGCAACTCGGGAAGCTGAGGCAGGAGGACTTCAAGTTTGAGGCCACCAGCCTCGGCAACTTATGGAGACCCTCAGCAATTTAGCAAGACCCAGTTCTCAACATAAAAAAATAAAAAGGGAAATATGATATATCAAGAACTATGTAATGTTTTGAATAACCAACAATAAAAATTTTTTAAAAATAAAAAATAAAAAGGGCTGGGAATGTAACTCAATGATAAAGCACCCCTGGGTTTAATACCCAATACCAAAAAAAAAAAAAATGACTACATTATGGATCAAAGGACATTAGGCAGGAGAGGACACTCCTATTCTCTTACTGTAAACTCAAATCTTGTCTTTTTGCAGCTGGGAGTGATAACCAGGTGCAGTGGTACATATCCATAATCCTGGCCACTCAGGAGGCCAAGACAGGAAGATCACAAGTTAGAGGCCAGCCTGGGCAACTCAGCAAGACTTTATCTCAAAATAAAACTTCAAAAATGCTGGGGGTGTAGCTCAGTTGCATAGTTCTTGCCTAGAGTATGTGAGACCCTGGGTTTGATCCCCAAAAGAAAAAGATATGTACGTGATGATCTCCTTACACCAGATGGATTTAAGTTCAAACAAATCTGTTGGGAAAAGAAGAGGTGCCCAGAAGTGCCCGCTATGAGGCACTCTGGTAGATTAAAGACAGCCCAAAAATCAGCTCTCAAGATGTGCGGTCTCCATCTCCTTCCCTGGAACCAGGGTTGGCTCTGGGATTGTTTGGACCAAAAGAAAAAGGCAAAGTGTGGCTGTGCCATTTTCTGGGTGCAGGCTGGAACAGATTGGCAGATCCTGCCACCTGTCATGGAACCCAGCCACCGTGCCGGGAGGAAGGCCTGTGGAGAGACTCTGGAGAGCAGAACCAAAGCCCCTGGCAGAGCTGCCTGCACCAGCCAGAAAGTGAGCCATCTTGGAAAGGGGACCCCCAGCCCCCAACCCCCCTCATCAACTTCACACGGAGCAGAGATGGGCTGTAATGACCCAGCCCTGCCCCAATTCCAGACGCATGGGCTACATAAATGATTGCTGCTGTTCCAAGCCACCTTGTTGGGGGGCTTGATCACACCCCATAGACCTCAGAACAGATTAGAGCTAACAAGGACATGCAGAACACAAAGGTGGCTGCAGGGAAGGGAAGTTTGTAAAAACAGATATAACATCTGTGTTAGCAACTGTTAATAATGACATGCATTCCAAAGAAAATGGCAAAGCACACCTGTGAAGGCACACTGAGGGCCACCGATAGTGTCGCATTGTTAATGTACCTACACGGAGAAAAACAATTAAAAGAAAAGCAAGAGGAAAAGACACGTGTGCAGGTAAAAGGAGGAGCGGGCTGGACTCAGCTCATGCTGTGGTCACCTGAAATTAAGAGTAAATCCCAGGTGGCCTAGCTACACACACACATGAGCAGCAAGAGGAACAGGGACCTCACGGAGATCAGCACCCTGCACCTAAGAGGGATTCCCACGCAGGTGAAACTGAGCTGCTCAGCACACGTTCATGGATCAGAGGACACCAGGCGAGAGAGGACACTCCTCTTTTTTTTATTGTAAACTCAAATCTTGTCTCCTTGTGGCTGGCAGGAGTCATCTTGCCCACTGCATAGGATGATGCCAACATGCCGAGGAAATAAAGCAAGGCACAGAAAGTCCCTCCGAGCTCTGCCACAGGATTGGAGCCACTAACCCGGCAAGGCTATGCTAACAAAAGCCAGTTGTGTGAGCTAGGAAGCCCCTTCTCCTGGGCTGGGCTGAGTTTGTCCTGACAAGGTGCTTTCCTCCTGCACAGCGTGAACTCAAGCTGCCTCTCTCACTTCTCTCTCTGTCTCTCTCTCTCTCTCTCTCTCTCTCTCTCCCTCTCTCTCTCTCTTGCACACATACACGCACGCACGCACCCATTCAACAAACATTTGCTGATTGCCAGCTATGTTCAGGCACAGGGCTAGGCCCACATCAGTGGGCGACAGAGCTCCCACTCACAAGAGGCTGAAAGTAACAGTGAACTGTCATGCCGGCATCCGGAGGCTGTCGGAGAGAAGAGAAGAATCATGGGCTGGGGTTGTGGCTCAAGTGGTACAGCGCTTGCCTAGCACCTGCAAGGCACTGGGTTCGATCCTCAGCACCACATAAAAATAAAATAAAGATATTTTGTCCACTGAAAACTAAAAGAATCAGAATCCTTTCCCTCATGGAGCTTCTAGTCCAGTAAATGAGACAACATTAAACAAGCAGTAAGCCAGGTTCAGTGGCTCTGCAGGCTGAGGCAAGAGGATCACAAATTCAAGGTCAGCCTCAGCAACTTAGCAAGACCTTGTCTCTAAATAAAAATATAAAAAAGGCTGGGGATGCAGCTCAGTGGTTGGGCACCCCTGGGTTCAATCCCTGTACAAAAAAAAAAAGAAGCAGTAAGTCCTCAGGAAGAAGGAGGCGCAGGGTGCTGAGGGATGGCAGAGTTGCCATGCCCTGGTTCCGCCTACATGCCACAGTTCCTGGGTTTTATAATGTGTCTTTTACTGTACTTTTTCCATCTCTGAAAAGACGCCTCTTAGCAGCACAATCATCCGGGCGGCCATGATGATGGAGTTCTGCTCCTAGAGGCACAGGGTCAGCTGAAGCCGTGATGTCCCCATCAATAAACCATCAAGGGTCCTGTGGGAATGAACAGGACTCCTGGTCACTGCTAAGAACTGTCTGCTGGCACTTTGGGTAAGATGAAGAAAAACTCCAATGTCAAAACTTTCAAAAGAGGTGTCAGTAACCTAAAAACAATTGGGACCAGTAATGGAACATCCTTTAAAAGAATATTACAGGGGCTGGGATTGTGGCTCAGTGGCAGAGCGCTTGCCCCACATGTATGAGGAACTGGTTTCGAACCTGAGCTCCACATAAAAATTAATAAATAAAGGTGTCCACCTACAACTGAAAAAATAAAGAATCTTACATCACTGGCACTCTTGAAGGACAGCATGATGGATATTATTTTGTTGGGGGAAAAACATGGACACTGGTATCAAAAAATGATTCTGAACAGTTGGATTCTCAATGAGTGACATTTGCAAATATCTTATCAAGCTTAACTTTGAGCAGAGCGCAGGGGCACACACCTGTAATCCCAGTGGCTTAGGAGGCTGAGGCAGGGGGATCTTAGCAACTTAGCAAGGCCCTAAGCAACTCAGCAAGACCCTGTCTCTAAATATAAAAAAAGGACTGGGGATGTGGCTCAGTGTTTAAGCTCCCCTAGTACTGAAACAAAAACAAACAAAAAAACTTAACTTTGATTTCATTTCCTGTATATGCATAAGGCATATAGATTGTTTCTCTAAATAAACCAAAAAAGAACTTGTTCAAAAAGCATAAAATTAAAATTATAAATAAGTTGTCTCCTAATGTAATAATTATTTCTTATTATTTTATTATTCAGGGTTCAGTAAGAAAATACATTTCAAATTAGTGAACTTAATACAGGGAAGCCTGCTATTCAAGTATTACAGAACGAGAAGGCAAAGGGGAGCCGAGGCGACTCATAGCGACAGACGCCAAGGGCCCGGGGACCCAAGGGACGACACTGGGGCTATTGAGAACCTCAGTGTTTGGAGAGGGTCCTGAGTGGGTAGGAGCCAGACCTGGGTCGGGGCCATGGCTGGGCTGGGCTGGCACCTCCCGAGGGCTGGGACAAACCTGCTCTTTGGGCTCGCTGCCTGCGAGGGCCCACGGCTCCTGACAGGGATGAGAGCAGGAAGCACAGCGGAGACAAGGTCCCTTCGCCGCCCGCCCTCCAGGCTCCTGTAAAAGGCCACTGTTAGCAGCTCCTCGCAGAGAACGGGCAGGCAAGGCCGGTGGCCCACAGACCCTGTCCCTGTCAGCACAACACAGAATACGGA